AGGTATGCTTCGCCTGAGTCGAACATCCCTCTACATAATCTGGACGGCCTGGACAAAGTACAAACCCATACAAACAGTAGTCATGTCGTAGTCAGCCAAGTGACCTCCGTTCAAGGCGATCTGCACCAAGGTTTCGGCTGTCTGCGAGTAAACCGCATCATTGGAGAGGTCTTCAGGGAAAACGCAGTCAAATCCAAAGTGAACGTGCGTGATGAAGGGCGTCTTCAAGTCGGCTTGAAACTGGCAGTTGTGCAAGACCACCTCTTTGGGATATGGCTTTCGTGGTATGACAGTCAGCGCATCATATTCTCCACGAATCTCCTGCTCCTGAAAGGTCAAGACCCATTCACCTATGAAGAGGTCCATCAAATACCATAATATATATATATATAGCTGTGGCTGGCTCATGTTGTGGTATCAAAAGTACAACCAAATCATATCTCATAAGAAACAGATTCAACAGTGGCCCCACCCACCCATGTCCTTCTCAAACAAAGGCCTCTTGCGCAAGAAGACTTGCACCGCCCCGCGTGTGCCTTCGACCAAAGCGCAGAAACACAGTGGTTGGATCGAAGAAATGGCTGCTACTAGTAGTTTCTTGCTCCTAGTAGCGATGCTCTCTGCTCCTAGTAGCTTCTTGTTACTAGTAGTAAGGCCAGGAGCCCCTACTAGCGTCCTTGCTCCTAGCGATGCGCTTACGCTCGTTCAAAGTGTTTTCTGTCCATGCACAAAAATCGTGAGAACTCCCATGCTTGCTTAGTCTCTGCCCTTGCTTCCGGCGCCTTCTGGCTCTTCATCCTTCTCTGTGGCAAGGAGCTCAGTCCGCGTTTTCAGGATGGCAGCCTCGAACATCTCCTTGTCAGTGTTTGACCAGAGTCAATGGGGGTTTCACTGGGACCTAGTCATGGTGGTTGAGCCCAGCGGGCTCTCACAGGCGTTTGGAGAGCACAAACTTATTGATCTTATTGGGTGAAGCACACTATGGAGCTTGCTCTGCATTGTCATGCCTGCTTTTGGGTGTTGGGAATGCTGAGAAAAAGAGCCCGGATGGCCGTCCAAGTACTCAGTCGCAATACCCAATTTTCTGAGAGGATAGAGATGCTCGCCACCGAGGACTTGTTCAACAACAAGTCTGCCTAATCTCCGCCTCCGACACCAAATCCACATTTAAGGTGGACCAACAATTTCTCATAGGCCACTCTTTGGAAAGGACCCGATTACTTGCCCACTCATTCATGTCTGATCGTCTCCTTATGCATTGAGCGCAGCTCGTTCTTGTCAAACATTTGACGCCCTCCATCTTTGTCAGACGGCCTCTGAACACCCAAAGATTGTGCTCGGACTTGCGCCCGTAAAGGAGGCAAAACTTCTGGCAGCTCTTCCCGATGACGCGAGGAGGATCGTCTCATCTCCTCAAAATCTTGTGAAACGGTCACTGGTGAAAAAAACAAACGACCCCGCAGATTGTTGGTTCAAGTTCTACTGTCTCATTACACTCTCATCAACAGAAGGACCTTTACCTAGGTAGCATGCATAGCATTGTTTCTTGAAGTCCACGCTTGAGGCCACGGCCAAAAGTCCAAAGGGATCAAGTATGTTTCGGCCTTGTTAACAAAAAGTTGGTTTTCAATACCTCAAAGCCAAAGGTCTAATGCGCGCTCGATCAATTTCTCTTTAAATGGTTATATCATGGGTGTTCAAATCCCACCACTCAGTCCATGAGCACCACCAGTACCCCCCACACACTCAAGGTTCGGAGGGCGGCAGTTTCTGCTTCGGTTGGTTGGCCACCACTGGCATCTGCCGAGGTGGCTGCGAGATGCATCGCCGAATGGGACGCGCTTCTGCTTCTGACCTGGATGGAGTGTCAAAGTTTGGGGGTGCTCTGGATCACGACAGCGTGACACAGAGGAAGGTAGCCAGAATCACCCAGGTTAACAGCGGGAATTGGGTGCTGACGTGCTGACCTCAACTCAAACACCATATCTGCAATGATGGTTCACATGTCACGACGACTTGGAAATCCTTATATAGAATAGCACAAGGATTTAGGTGTTAGGTATCGCACGGTCCCACACCATCCACATCCCACATATTCCGCACCTGGCCGAGATCTGCGGCGACTTGGAGCCCTTGGATCGCTTCGGTGGCGTTTCCAGTTTGGGTGGCCTCCCTGCAGCCCAACCGGGCGATGGCCCTTCAGGTGCCTGGACCGGCGCCTGGGCTGCCTGGGCTGCCTGGGCTGGTGCCTGGGCCGGCGCCTTGTCAGGGCTCCGTGGTGGGGCTGCCGATGCCGCTGTCGGTGCCTTGCTCGGCTTCTTGTAGCTCGGGTTGGAGAAGACCATTGGGTCATTGGGGGGGCACGTCACCTCCACGAAGGCCAGCCTGCCAAGACTCTACCTGTCACAGGCACGAGTCCGCATCTTCAAAGCTCCGAGGGATTGCCCTTCCGCAATTCACATGGACGATTTGCCCTTATCTTGGTGGACCTTCAATAAAACAGACTCGCGCGAAACAAATGAAAGTTCTATCATGAAACTAGAGCAGCATTTGCACGGTGCCATCTTGAATGGCGACAATATCCTTCACACCAATTTCCCACAAATGAGTTGCACATTCAGTTGAAGGAAACATGTACGTACTAAGGGTATAAAAGTGTATTGACCTTCAAATTCTGTTTGAAAGCGGCAAACGTCTCCGCTCCTCCTGCGCCACCTCTGACTTGAGCTGTGCAAGGTTTGTGAAGTCTGGCTTCTTCGGAGCTCTGCCAATCGAAGTTGGCCGGTCCTTGTTCAGTGCACAAAGTGCTGCTCGCTCCTGCTGCTTGTTCCCAGATAGCCAAAACCCTCCAAAACCCGTTTTTTTGCTTGAGAAAGTGGAGCCTCCAAAAAACTCCCAGCTCAGTTGTTAGTTTAGTGTCCCAGTCCCAGTCCCAGTTAGGGTCCAATTGATTAGGCGTGGCACGAGAGGTGTTGTCAAGGTCTTATTACAAGATCTTGAATGGGGGTCTATCTCTCACACCTCCATCACTATCGTACTTCTTTTTGTACATATTCTGTCATACATCTTCTCATCGTCCTTCAAAAGCAAAGTGCAAGCCAGACTCGTTTCGCTTGCGGCGTGGCTTCCCGAAGACCAAAGGATCGCTCGAGTCTTTTTCTTCTGGACCACCGCGCAAGCCTGCTGCCCAGGCATCTGACTCCACACTTGGCTTTTGTTGCCTGGGTGCCAAGAAAGGGAAAACCAAAAACATCCAAAATTCACGTCCTGGAAACCCATACAAGTAGCATTAAAAACTAGCCTTCTTCAAAATCATCGGAGAATGCACATGACATGACTAAAGCCGCAAGTGTGTGTAACGTACCAGAAAGGTTCCCAGTTTCGGCTTCCGAATGGGACGGTCCAAAAGCTTGAGTCTTCCCTCGCAAATCCCGCAAGAAACACATCAACCTGAAAAACAAGATGCATGCAAATCCGAAGGTGCTCTATAGCCTTGGCTCGTTGCCACTCCGGCCAGAAGGTTTCATCCGCAGCATAAGCCCCGACCGGACCTTGAGGTGCCTCAATGCAGGGCTCGATGGAAGTGGTTTGCAAACCATGGACCATAGCCATAGCTCAACCATATCATCTGCGGTCATTGCCAAGAAAGGGAAGCTGATTCAGGTTGGCAAGGCTTTTGTGTGGCAGGTGTTTCTGCCGTTAATTCTTTGTTGAGTGTGTGTGAATTAGAAGGGACTAAGTTAGTAAATCAGTGAGGTGCCAACTTAGAGACTGGACCAGCTACAAATCACAATGTTAAAGGTATGTCAAATATCTTGACAGGGACGAGACTCTCAAGACACTCGAGAAAAGAATAGGTGTTGCCTTCTGCTTGAGTTTCGCTATACATCTAGGAACCAAGTTATTAGTGCGAGCGCTTCTTCAAGGCTCAAGTAGCCAGTAGCTTACGTCTCCCTTACTTAATTGAGTAGGTGCCTACTTAATTAAGTAAGGAGGGAGGGCCACGGGCTTTAAACCAAAAAATAGAACAACTTTTGTCCAAGCCACTCTCGCTGGAGCCGACTCCTCGGGTGTTTGGGTCAACTCCCAGGAGGTCTCATGGTCCACCGGCGCGCTGGGGATCAAGGTCACGTCCTCACCACCTGCAATCTCGAGTGAACATCCCAAACTGGAAAAGACCCCTAGTATATAGCGTCCTTGTTTACTAGTAGCGATGCCAGGAGCCCCTAGTAGCGTCCTTGCTCCTAGCAATAAGGCAGGAATGTGTGTCCTGTAAGGGCCCCCTGCCTCCTTTTATATAATTAAGTTTTTTGAAGCCCGTGGGGGCCCTCTGCTTTATTACTCAATTAAGTAGGCCCCTACCACCTACTTATATAAGTTACCTAAGTAAGTAAGTAAGGGCAACTAGTTAGTAGCTTCTAGTAGCTGGACGCAGAATGGTCAGGCTTCTCAAGGAAGCTCCCCTGCCGCCCTAAAGGCGGCAGGGGGAGCTTCCTTGAAGAAGCGCTCGCGCAAATGATTTGGTTCCTAGATTGTTAGGGAAACTGAATAGGCCACCACTGATTTGATTGAATCTTGAGTAGCTCACCAATATTCACCAATGGTCGCTGACAAAGCCAGCCCGCGTAAAGCATGAAACAAACGCGAGAATCTATTTGTCAGCTCGCCTGGCAACAAGGTGGGATCATCATCTCCGTCCATGCGGTGAGCACTGGACTGGACCCATCGCTGAGTCCACCCAACGAGATTCAAGACCAACCCCGACCTACAAACTGCAAAATGGAGACTGACCTGATATTGCTTTGGTGCGTCACAATAGTAAGCCCTGAACTGCAAGCAGCTGCGGCGAGGTTGATCTCAAACAAGGGACTTTGAATCACTCCCAACTGCAATTACCTTTCGTTGTCATCCTGTTGGACAACTAAAAGCTGCTTGCGTCCAAAGAGGTCAAGAGGTCCTTCCTTCACTAAGTCATTCTAAAGCAACTCCAGGGCCGCCACCACCATGGACACGGTCACCTGATGCCAAGGAGGCCTCATTTTTTGACGACCGGGCAACGGAAGTGCATTGAAATGTAACTGGCATTCCTTCGGTAAAGTGAAGTCATCTCGAATCTCCGTTGTCTCACTGACCATCTGGCAATTTTCAGTCAGGTTGAATTGCCTCATTCTGCATCATCAGAGTAGGTGTGCGCGATTCTGGCACGAAATGGGCCCACTATGGTACTAGGCATGCCTTGCGTTGCTCAGGCCTAGCTTTGCAGCTTAGCTTAGCACAACTCTGATCTTCGCTTCACCCAACGAAGGCTTTAGAAGACCAGTACTGATGATGTGAGATGATCTTCACCTCCCTTCAAACACTAGACTCTAGACCAAACCTGACCTAACAATAGCCCGAGCAACAAGTAAAGTAAACCCTTGCCTTGGAAGCCAGGAGCGCGCGCACCACGCAGTGCGAGCCAGAGGCGGCAGCCTCAGAGTGCGTGGAGGTCCAGAAGCCCCTCAAATGAGATTCAATGGCTGCGATCGATGGAATGAGATGCTCGATCACGCACAAAGTCACAAAGCGCTGGTGGGGTGAGGAGAGGCGAGGTGAGCAAAGATGGAGGATATGGCCAGGCGAAACCATTGGAAAACATTGGCCACAACTGGTGACTTCTCACCAACGGTCACGCCACGGCACTCTGCCGAACTGTCTGAGCTCTCACACCCAGTGGATCGCCTGCACTCCCTCATGATCTTCTGCTGATACTGCTGCCCGGAAGGCCAGCAGCAAGTGGGTTAGCCTGGCCAAGACACGTGACCAGCCTGGTCAGCAAAGTCCAAAACCAAGAAACCGATTGAATCACAAGATCGGTGAAGCTTTTGGATTTGTGGATTCCATATCTTTGAAAGGCACCGAATCCATCTTGGGAGTAGAGCCTCTGAAGTGGGAGTCGCAAAACCTGTGCCAACCTTACCGAAGATAACCGAACGCGTTGGTAGATTGGGCCTGCATCTGCTACGAGTACACCGTTCTCAGAATGTAACGAGAGCTTTCTGCAAATCACTGACAAAATGACACGACAAGAGATGTGGATCGACTGTCTCAGTTCTATAGATAACAATTCCTTTGAGGCTTCAAAACACGCCACTCTTCCTAATCGGAATGTGTTCATCGTTTGCAAGGTGTAGCGTCGGGCCAGGGTTCTCACCTGCAACTACTGGTGGCGAGGTGTAGAGGCTGCTCCTGCGTGCGACTTGGATCCCCTCTTCCAGTTTCAGTCGCAGAACTGATTGAAAATAAAGGTGGATTGATAATCGATTGTTATTTTTCTTCAGTCTTCCTCCAAGACTGACTCTCAAACAAAATAGACCTTCAAGACTCTGGGCGGGTCAGTATCGGGAGTCGGAAAAGCCTGGGGTGTCGGAAAAGCCTGGGGTGCAAAAAGGCATCTGATAGGGCTTGCCAAAAAGGGACGCTACTGGTAGCTCCTGACCTTACTACTAGTAACAAGAAGCTACTAGGGGCTCCTGGCCGTACTACTAGGAGCAAGGACACTACTAAGCCCTCAATGAGTAGCATGGCACAAAATAAACCAAAGAAGCTGCAGCA